CCCCACCCAGACGCCGAACCCGCTGCTGGTGGGGCCGCTCCTGCGGGCCTGGACGGCCCAGCTGGGGCTGCTGTGGTCCCTCCTCCTGCCCCTGCTGCCCCTGCGCGAGGGCGTGGGAAGGCTAGGGGTCGGGGGAGGGGCAGAGCGCGCGGCCGCGCTGCTGCCCCCCTTGCACCCAGCTCGGACAGCTCAGATTGACATTAAACCCCCCACATCACATCACATCATCGTCACCATCCTACCATCTGTGTCCCCCTGAGACAAATCGGCAAACCATGCGAACCGCAAGAACAGCATTGGGGGCTGTACCAGTCTTTGGACGCCCTTAGGCCCTTGGGATTCGTTGGGGATCTTCTGAATCAGTTGCCTTCAGGAACAAACGCTCGCATGAAAACAAACGATAACATCGAAACACATCACCGAACGTTGAGACCCAGAAAACAACATCAAATACATGCGACAACCATCAAAAACAACAACTCTCAGCCAGAAGCCAGCCACACCAACAAAAACGAATGAACTTCCGTACAGAACCTCTCAAATACATCAAAATCTTACGAAATCGTGAAAAACACACCAGAAACAGTGAAATCAATACAAATGCATTGAAAACCGTTCAAAACATCAAAGAATGAGCAAAATTTGTGAAAAACATATGAAATCATCAAAAAACAATTAAACATATCAAAAATCATTGAATATCATCAAAAACGTTCCGGGGAGTTCCGGGGAGAACCGGGGAGAACCGGGGAGAACCGGGGAGAACCGGGGAGAACCGGGGAAACGGCCCAAAACCACTGGAAATCACATAAAAACCATTCTCAACACCGTCCAAAACCCATTGAAATCCATTGAGATGGTCTGAATCTATCGCGTTTGGAAATTTGTATCAGTATTTTAGTGTTTCTTGTGATTTTGAAGCGTTTCTATTGTTTTTTCAAACGATTCTCAGCGTTTTTTTGCATTTTTCAATGTTTTGTAATGATTTTATGGTGCATCTACGGTTTTATATGTTTTTTCAAGGTTTCAGGTGATTTCATATGATTTCTGAAGATTTTCAACGCGATCATAGTGATATCGACGATTTTGTGAGATTTAGCAAGGTTTTGCATGATGTCAATGGTTTTGGCTGGTTTCTGCATAGTCTTTGATAATTCTTCATTGGTTTTCCTTGTATTCCATGTGATCTTATTGCTCTCAATGCATTGCAACGCACCAGCACACGTTTCAACGTCTACACTTGGGTTATCACATGCGTTCTGCCTTCCCAATGGTGGTCCTGTGGTGCGCACGCCCTGCAATCCCAGTTCACAGTCATACATCAGCGTGGCGATTCCCCTCACGTTGTTTCCGCCTGGCGCAAATGAAGGCCGATAACGAAATCATCAAGATGAATTTACTTTCGCTAGGTTATGATGAGCTCCCATATCGCCCTCGAAGTTCTTGGAGCCTGCGATGGGATCTGATTGATTGATAATGGAGCCTCGCCTCCTCTACCTCCTCCTGGGTCATTTTGGATCAAGTGGTTAGCTGGAGCACGTTTGGTTTTCCTGACATGGACTTTGAGCTGGAAGGCGACGCGTCACCCGGATCTCTTGTGATAGGCGTGGGCTCAGCTGAATCAGTCGGATCCCTGAGGGGCCGTGGCAACGCAACGCCCTTGGTGGCTGGTTGTTCGAGCATGCGCGATCTGTTTGACTGGCCTAGTTGGTGCATTCAAGCGTTGAAAGACAAAACTGGTGATTCAAGGCTGTGTGATGTGTTCAAGGAGAGTTTGGCAAACGGCGTCTCCCTCACCACTTGCTTCTCAGGGATGGGTTGCGTTGAGATGGCATGCTCTTTTATCCAAGAGTCAGCAGTGAGCCTCGGATTCGCATCGTCAGAGGGACCTGGCCCTTTTTCTTTCGAATCAGCTACAGACATCGACGCTGTGTGCCAAACTGTTCTCCGTAACCATGAGAATCCTCCAAGATGTATTTTCAAGGACATTCTGCATAGGTACCCTCGAGATGTTGCTCTGCAGCTTACACACTTGAGCAAAATGACAAGCGGACAGCATGATGACATCATGGCTGATAGCAGCAAAACTAAGTTGGACAAAAAAGAATTAGCTCAAACACTGGCGGGCCAATTCAAAATGGAGTGCGACAAGATCTTGACATCATATTTTAGGACGTGCAATCACCCAGAACAACAGACTGCACCGTGCGCGCGTCATCCTGCCTTTCGGAGTTGCTGCGCGCCCCGCCGCCTCCGCAAAGAAGGCACTGGTGGCAAGCTGCGTCTGCATGTGGCTGGCACGCCTTGCATTGACTGGAGTGCAATGGGCCAACAACTGGGTCTCAATGGGGCAACGGCCGTGATCTTCGAGTGCTGGGTGCACGAGCGCCTCTTTGAGGATGACGATGTGATCATTCACGAATGCACGCGCAACTTTCCAATCAAAGCATTGCAAGACAAGTTCGAAGAGAAATACGTCATAGTCAGCCTCATCATCACGCCGCAACACTTTGGATGGCCGTGCTCAAGGCCCCGGAGATGGACTATCATGGTGAAGAAGGCAGCATACATATTCAATGTGCCCTACACGTTGGATGGTCATGGAATATGCTGGCTGTTCGGAAGAGCGGTGGATTTGGATGGGAACGCTTTCTTCTGCGCTGGGTTTGAGGAGCAACAAGAACTGTTCAGGGAAATGGCGAGAAAACGAAAGTTCTCAGGGCAGACCGAATGGGTTTGCGATGATGTCCTGGACGCTGGTAGTTGGGCGAGGCTTCAAGGGCATAGACATTTGGCCACAAAGATGGGGAAACATGTTCAAGACGCTGTCATTGTGGACTTGAAGGACACGGCGGAGCACATTACACGATGCATCAGTGTAGTGCCGACGCTTCTTCGGAAATCGTTGATGTATTCTCTATCCCTGAAGCGCGTGATGATTCCTCTGGAGCACCTTCAAGTACAAGGTGCCCCTGTGCTTGGCGATGATCTCCCGCACCGCTGCCCATTCATGTCTATTCTCAGATCGAAGTCATTGTCAGGTGACGATGTCAAGTCACTGGCTGGAAATGGTATGCACGTCGGCGTCGTAGGCCCATTGCTTGTATACGTTCTTGCGTGCATGGAGCCCGCGGGGGCAAACGCTGGTTGATACGTTTCGCGAGTTTCGCATCATATAGGATGTCAGGGAGTCGTGGCCAACAAATTGCATGATATAGTGTAAAACATGCTCTTGTGATCTGAGTTCGCGCTGAGGTCTTTGACTCACGTGAGGGCACCATATCTCATCAATGTTACCCTTGCAACCTTGCGTCGCCGCCCCTCCCAGTGCCGCACGTTCTGGGCACGTTGGCCATATCCGACGTCGATGTATCTACTTATCTGAGGCTGAGGGATGCCCAATGGCATTGCATCATTACCCGTGCCTTGAGACGAGTCTTTGGTCTGGGCTGTGCTGGTCGAGTATCCTGCACGTTTGAAGCGCAACAGTGCACTCATCAAAACGCGCAAATGTAGGTTGGAGGCTCGAGAATCCCCGAGAACCCCATCCAGTCGGGTACCTCTTGGGACGTGATTTCCCAAACAATAGGTTTCACCAAAAACGCGTAGATGTAGTTTGGGGCCCCGTCCAGAGTTTTCACATGTGCCCCGGGCGTGAAAGGCATGTGCAAGTGTTACGGGCCCCTACCCAGAAGCGCCCCGGGCGGTAGGATACACCCAGAGCAGGTCTCAACCCAAAAAGCCCTGACGAATTTCAAATCAAGAAACAACGACGACAACAACGTCGATGTTGATGATGATGATGATGACGATGATGAAGAGGATGAGGTGGAGGAGAAGGAAGAGTAGAAATCCATTAACATGGTGGGGGGAGAACGGAAGACACAGACGCCAACGGCGAAGCGGACGTCGAAGCCCTAGAGTCGCCCCCGCAAGAGCTTGAAGATAATCGCGCATCGCGGGTCGCGGCCAAAGCTGACACCGGTTTGGAGAGCAACGCAACTCCAGGGTGGTCTCGCGAGGGCGCGCGGATAACAGCGCTTCGCGAGGCGCGATGCGCGACGTGAGGCTACCTAAGAAGCGACTGGAGGTAGACTCCTCGGTCCACGAGTTCTTCTCCTGGGCCTTGCTGTTCATCTTCCGTAGAACATCTGGGTTCTAGCCTTTCAGGATCTGGCGCCCTCCAGGGCTCTCTTTGCAGGTTGCAATCGGTGATCAGGCAGCAGCGCGATGGGAGACGAGTGGGAAGAGGAGCTCGGCGCGTCAGGGCTCGCCGAGGTCGAGATCCCTAGCCCTCGCGAGGGCGGAGTCTCTCCAGCAACGCCCTCGTCGTCTGGGCCAACAACTCCATCGCCAGCTAAGGCGGCACCGCCGCCTCCGCAGGCTGAGGGCAACCAGAAGTCAACGCTGAAGATCTGCATCGTGGACAAAAAGCCATTTGATAGCAAGCGCAAGGTCGACATGTGCCCAGCCCACATGAGGGACTGGGAAGCCCTTCTGGACCAGGTGGAGGACAAGAAGGAAAAGAAGTACGTGGTGGCTCTGAAGAAAAAGGCAGCGACTGGGGACAACGCTGAACTCATGGCCCTCATGAAGAAGTTTGCTGAGGATGCGCCCTCTTTGGGGCGGGGGCGAGCTCGCGCCCACTTCGACTTCGCGTCATTCTTCAAGGACACCTACGCGATCACCGAGACCGAGCACGACGGCGAAAGCGAGATGATGACCTTCATGGTTTTTGAAGAGCATTGCAGGTCTGCGCGAGGGGGCAGGTTGACTGACCCCGAGATTGCAGCGGAGTGGGCCAGGCTGACGAAGGATAGGAAGGCACCAACTATACACCAACACCGATCCTGGCCAGGATCACCCTGGACCCAGGATCGGTGTATACGCCCTCCTGCCTTGCGCAAGAAGGCATATACACCGATCCTGGGCCCAGGGTGATCCTGGGCCAGGATCGGCGTTGGTGTATAGTTGGTGCCCTCCGAAAGGAAGCCGTCGAGGACAAGAAGCCAGGCACCGAATGCGACAATTTCGGTCCCAAGAAGGCTCTTCGGATCAAAGTGAAAGTGCGGGACACCGTCCACGACCGCAACAAGTTAGGCGAGCAAGTGACTGTCAGGGAGCGCGAGGCCGAACAGAAGAAGCCCTCGAAGACCGCCGTTGCCAGCATGAAGCGCTCATTGACGAATTCGCACTCGTCGTTCCGTGAGCTCGAGAATCTCGTTGACAAGGAGGCCGTGGAAGAGAGGCAGAAAGAACACAGGTCCTCCTTAGCATCCGCCTTCACCCCGTTGAACCTGGGCACCTTCTCATCAAAGCAGTCTGCGACAGCGGCAGGCTCAGTTACAGACATCATCGCCAGCATTCGCCAGCAGCAGTCGGAGTCGGACGCCGATCTGCTGGAGGTTGAGTCCACAGCTGGTTCTGTCGACTCGGGCGCCGGCGCCGGCGGAGGAGGCGATGGCAATGATAAGAAAAGGAGGCGCTGGGATCGCGACACGCAGACCCTCAAGGCAGAAACGAAGCACCTGGAGACGGTCGAGAAAGTGAGGCAGTTGGCTGACAAGACCTTGTCTGAGGTTGTGGATGCGGAGAAGAAGATGATCAATCAGGTCGAGGACGCGGAATACTTCAAGAAGCACTTGGAGATCTTGCAGCTGCGCAAGGAAGCTCTGGTTGCCTTTTCGCAAACTTGTAACCTGAAGGCGTACCAAGCCTTGGTGAAGTCGCATACTAGGAAATCACCGTGCCCGGACTTTCTCAGCATCATCTCTATCGAGGAGTTCAAGGACAAGCAGACGGAGTTCTCGGCCGCAACTTGCGCTGAGGAGTTGAAGACGTTCGAGAACATGTGCAAAGCAGAGCTGGTCAAGATGAATCAGCTCATCGGCGCCAACAAAGCCATCGTCAAAGATGCGCAGACCTTGCTCAAGTCCCGCGCCAAGCAGCTGCAGACCATCCAAGAGAACAAGACGAAGGCCGCCGCCGCCAAGTCCGCAGCTGCGGCCGTCATGGGGCCACCCTTGCCCAAGAAGGCCAAGATCAACACCACTGGCGACATTCTGAACTTCGAGTACGGCGAGGATCAGCAGATGAACGCCTACAGCTTCGAGGCGACCAACTGCAGCAATCCGAGCCTGTTGGACGCAATGGGGCAATCACGCTTCCACCTCCCTCCTTCCTGGCTTTGGAAAATCATTTCGAGGTCTGCTTTGAGGTTCGAATCGAACGAAATCCACTTTTCGATGAGGTCAGGTTTCGGGAGGAAGGCCTTTGCTTTTTGGTTTTGTGCGGTCCCATCGTCGGAGTCAGCTTGAAAAGGCCACGAGTCGACCATGAAGGCCTTCTCGCATCATACCTCCCCTCTCGCTCATCATCTTTCTGTATTCCCGTAGTCCTTACAGGAGCCTTTCGTGGTGACTGGCTGCGGCAGCCAGGTGGACGCAGCGGTACCGGAGGCGACGCTGAAAGCTTTCCAACAGAAGTTTCTCAACAGCCCACAACGAACCAGCTCAGGGCGCGCGACTGCGCCGATGAAGGACCCTACGGATCAGCAGCGCGCAATGACAGCTGTGCTTGGATGCTTCCCCGATGAACTCAAGAAGTACTTGTACAACCCTGACACCTTCAAGAAAGACCACCCTGAAGTGTTCAAGCTCCTCGTTCCAGCCTTGTCAGCAAGTGCCGCCGACGCCCAGTATGCTGGCACTGAGAACTGTTTCATGCCGAAGTTGCGCCTGACCCTCAAAGGCATCGCCAACGTCGTGATGGTGCGCGCAGACAACTACGTAGCGTGGTCTGGTAAGAACATCAGCGAGGCTGCGGCTTCGGACTCCAAGGGCATCACCCTCGAGGCTTGTTTCAAGAAGATTGCCGCGATGACGAGTGCTGAGATTGCTGACTTCACCAGGGAGCACCCCGGTTCCATCAAGCAGGCGACGGTCGCGAAGGGAGACTTCGCTTACACGCCCACTGGATGGATCCTGATGGAGCACACGAAGCCTGTGGACGATATGGCGTGCGTGAAGATGTCGATCCTTCACTTCTTCGACGGCGACAGCATCAACTTCGCGAGCAAGTCTATGGAGCTGCTGGTCAGCAGCCTAGATGGCTTGAACAAAAACGTGGCTTTGGTGAAGGAGGTGTTTGAGATCATCAAGAAGAACCCCGACCCCAATGAGAAGAAAGATGATGACACGGCTGGGAAGTGATGCATCAGTTCTGAAAAAAGCTGGCACTGTCAGTTTTCAAGATCGGTCCCCTCCCTGCACGAGGGTTCGAAGCTAGAGAGAATACAACAAACAAAGCCAACAAACACAGGCACACAAAACATGAACACATAGCGACCGACTTGCATACTTCCCCGTGCGATGCTGCATAGCTGCTGGCCGTCTAGAGTCTGGTGTTGACTCATCGTTTCGGAGGCTGCTCTGTTGTGCATCCTTGCCATGCCATGGCAACGAAAGAAATCAACTTAGGCTTCTGAGTCTGACCTCCGTCGACGACAGCATCGACGACGTCGACGGCGACTTCGACGACGACGATCGATGATGACTACGACGACGATCCATGACTCTCGACAACACCGATCGACGTCGACGATTCTGACGACGACGACGATAGACATCGACGTCGACGACTCTGACGACGACGATGGACATCAACGACGACGACGTCACAACGACAACGGAAAGTTCGGGACGAAGACGGTGGCCCCGACGACATCGACAGCGGCGACGACGATGATTCGACGATGGAGACGACAACAACGACGGCTAGAACGACGGTGACGACAACGGCGCGGCCCGGCCGGCTGCTCTGGACGGCCAGCTCGCCACTTTGCCACTGGGCTGGAGGGCGTCGCCGTCGATGCCATGACATGGCAAAGGTTTCGGGTTTGGGGGACTCCAGTGGTCCTGTTACTTGGTTTTCAGGGTACCCAGGCCGCGCTGTGGCTCGACTGTCACTTCCTGTTTCGGGGATTCCATCGGTACCGATTTGGGGGTCCCTCACTCCTCACTCCTCCCCCATCCTCCCCTCGCTCTTCCTTCCTTCATGCTCGCTCCTCCCTCCTGGCTGAGAGAAGTTCACAGGTGCAGGGCCGCGAGGTCAGATCAAGCTATTTCCAGTGTGAATTCGGACCGACCTGATGCATTCCGCTGATATTGCCTGTTTCCTGTTGCTCCAGCGCGATCCTGCCCCGTGCCCGCCTGTACGGCCCCCTGGCCCTGCACCTGTGAAACTCCCTAGCTCTGAGTTCTTGGATCTGCGCTGGAGCCCCCTGGCGGCGCCGATCCAAGAAATCCGTGCGGACCTCCGAAAGGTTATGCTTGCGCAGTTTTTTGTTCCTCTGGCGAGGGGGAGAAGAGGAGGCAGGGGCGACGCTCCTCCGAGATGCGTGTTCTAGGCCCGAGGATCGAAAACCGCCAATGCGGAGGTTCGGCCTCTATTCTGGACGTCGTTTTTCTTTGGTCCAGAGTCATTCCTTCAGAATGGAGGCTCGACCTCCAAAAACCGGGGTTTGGGATCCACTGGGTTCGAGGATCCAGGTTGGGGGGGGGGCGGCTCTTCTGGGCCTCCAGAGGCCTCCTGTGGGGCCTCTGGTGGGGCCTCCGCGGGAATCCAAGAACTTCCACATGCCTCTGCGGGGGCCTCTGGGCGAAGACCCGACTCCGCGAGTCTGCGCGGGTGGTGCTGTCACGGTCCCATCCGGTCTCTCACAGTCTTTGGTCTTTGGTGGCCGGCCGTGCTTCTATAGGTTGCGCGCGCTCGCGCTCCTGAGGGTCCTGCGCCAACGTGCGCTAATGCGTGGTCGGGCATCCTGGAGGGGCACAAGCCCCCCAAAAGGAGGGCCGACCTCGATTCTGGAAGCTTTTAGCTTCGTCATGTTTTTTTCTCCTCCGCAAGCGGGGGCTCGACCTTCAGAATAAAGGCTTTCGATCCTTTGGGAGGATCCCGGGCTCAGGGACGTAGCGCCCCGTGACGTGTTGCAGCGCAGGCCGTAGGAGAGGTATGAGTTTTCGGGGCCTCCCTGCCCAGACCTCCAGCGTCTTGGAAGAAGTCAAGACGCAGGTTCCTGGCAGTGGCAAAGAATGATCTCGGGAAGGTATCCAGAGCTTGGGGGACGGCGCTTTGGGGAAGAAGTCATGTCAGCCAGCGCGGGCCCCAAACAGTAATTCAGCTATTGCACTATTGATGTGTAAGCTATGTGGTGCAAGCTATGTGGTGTATGCTATGTGGTGCAATTTGCGTGCTGCATGCTAGAGGGAGCAACGAAGCGGCAACAGGCGGCAGCGCGGCGAAACCTCGCCAGACCCACCCAGCGGCACACGAGGCGGCCACGGAGCGGCCACGGGCGGACGAGGCGGCCACGACGCGGCCACGGGCGGCAACATGGCGAAGCCTCGCGGAAAGCCCATCGCACGAGGCGGCCGCGGGCGGCACCGTGGAAATTTCTCGGGACGCCCAGCCGATGCTTTCGCAGGCCACCCGTTATCGCAGCATGCTGGCGTCCCCCACCGCTGTCAGATGACACGCAGTCGGTGAGGCTCAATAAAAAATGCTGTGAGATGTTGCAAGTCATGTGGTACAATCTACGTGGTGCAAGCTACGTGGTGGAAGAGAGTGGTGTAAGATAGGAGGTGCGTTGAGCTCAAAATAAAGTTGTGAGTTGTTGCAAGCTGTGTGGTACATTATACGTGGTGCAAGCTACGTGGTGGAAGGGATGTGGTGCAAGATAGGAGGTGCGCACTGTATGGTGCAAGCTATGTGATGTATAAGTTTCGCGGTGCAATCTACGTGGTGCACGCTATGCGGTGTAAGCTAGGTGGTACAAGATACGTGATGTAAGCTACGTTGGGCAGCCACGGGGCGGCCACCAAAAACATCTCAGGGTTATCCACCCAAAGATTCAGTAAAACTCGGATTCACGAGTGTGAAGCAATGTGGGACTCCCCGCTACCCCTCCTCGTGTCTCTTGCGCTCGCGCCTCCTGCCTGCCGCTGTTTTGGGTTCAAGGATGGGGCCGCTTGTGCAGGAGGGCGATGAGGAGGTGGAGGAGCTCCAGCACGCGGGGATCCGAGTAGCCGTTTCGGCTCGCGCGCCCGATGGCGCGGCGGCGCCCTCCGGCGAATGAGGAGGAAACTGCACAGGGTGGGGCCGCGGCCGTCTCCCAAGCGGCCCCGCGCCGACGTGCAGCGCGTCGTCCAGCCACTGCGTCAGGCGCCGGCCGCTCCGGCTTCCGACGCGCCCGTCGTTGCGGCCGCCGCGGGGCCGCCCGCGGGTTCGTCTGGCTCCGCAGGCCACGGTGGCAGCGGTGGCCTGCCTGGCCACCCGCGCGCTGCTTGTCCGGGCCCCCGCGGGGTGCAGTCATTGCCCGCTGCTCCTGCCCCGTAAGATGCCACCGCACTGTGGGACACAAACGTAATGGGGAGTCCTCGACTCCATCACCCAGGCGACTGACAGGCATAATTGGAAAAGTGCGCCAGTGGATCTCCCTGAATACACTAAAGGGGGGGGGGTCCAGAACCCCCCCCCCCCCCTTCAAGGGAGGGGGGGGGGTCCGGACCCCCCCCCCTTCCACCCCTTAAGGGAAAGGGGGGGGTCCCGAACCCCCGCCCCCCGTCCCTTGAAGGGGGGGGGGGGTCCGGACCCCCCCCCCCCTCCCCCCCTTGGCGCTGGAAAGGGGAGGGCGGGGTTCGGACCCCCCCCTCGTGTAGGGAGTACGGAGTTGGGAGTAGGGAGTGGTGAGTAGTGAGTAGTGAGCTAGTGCGTAGTGAGTAGTGAGTATTGGGTAGTGAGTAGTGGGTAGGGAGTAGGGATTAGGGAGTGGGGAGTAGTGAGTAGTGAATAGTGAGTAGTGAATGGTGAGTAGTGTGTATTGATAAGTGAGTAGTGAGTAGTGAGTAGGAGTAGGAGTAGGGAGTTGTGAGCAGTGAGTATTAAGAAGTGGGTAGCGAATAGTGGATAGTGAATAGCAATTGGTGAATAGTGGGTAGTGACTAATGACTAGTGACTAGTGATCAGTGATTTGTGATTAGCGACTAGAGACTATGTAGTGACTAGTGAGTATGGAATAGTAAGTAGTGAGTAGTAAATTGCGAGTAGCGGGAAGCGGGTAGTGAGTATGGGAGTAGCGAATAGTGAGTACTGAGTACTGTGTAGTCAGTATTGTGTAGGAAGTAGCGAGTAGTGGGTAGTGAGTAGTGATTTGTGGGCAATGAGTAGTTAGTAGTGAGTAGTGAGTAGTGGATCGTGGGTAGTGGGTAATGAGTAGTGATTAGTGAGTAGTGAGTAGGGAGTAGTGAGTAGTGCTTAGTGAGGAGTGAGTATTGAGTAGTGGGTAGTGGGTAGTGAGGAGTGAGTAGTGAGTAGTGAGTTAGGGGGGAGGGAGTAGTGAGTAGGGGGTAGTGAGTAGCGAGTAGTGGGTGATGGGTAGTGAGTAGTGGATAGTGAGTAGTGAGTAGTGAGTATGGGGGTAGTGATTAATGAGTAGCGAACAGCGAGTAGTCAGTAGTGGGTAGTGAGTAATGAGTAGTGAGTACTCTTTGGGGCTGGGGTTAGTGGTTGGGGTTAGGATTAGGGGTTTGGGTTAGGGTGAAGACTGAGGGTAGGGGTGGCAGGGGTCGGGTTCCGGAGTCAGGGGGCGGCGTGGCGAAGTGGGGGAGGGGGGGGGGGGTTCGGACCCCCCCCCCGTTTTGAAAAGGGGGGAGGGGGGGGAGAGGTTCCCCGACGACGGATCGGGGAAAGGGGGGAGGGGAGGGGGTCCCCGACGACGGATCGGGGAAGAGGGGGAGGGGGGGGGTGTTCCCCGACGACGGATCGGGGAAGGGGAGGGGGTCCTAACCCCCCCACCCTAACCCCCCCTTGGGGAGATCCAGCGGCGCACCCCCCATAATTGGGACATGATGGTTGCATTCAGCAAAGACAGGAGGTGTAGCCAGAAACACCCGGACGGGGCGCCCCCGCGGGAGGTGTTGGCTGCCATGGCTGAAGCCTGCGCTTCGGGCGTCAACCTCCAGTCCGTAGCGGACTCGGTGGTGCAACGACGGTTTCTGTGCAAAACAGTACCGTCCACGTTGCGGATATACGCGTCGCACTTGCGTATGTTTGCCTGGGCAAACGAATTGTTAGGGGAACCCCCGCTGGGCTGCTCGGTTCAGCACGTTCGTAGAATTGCTACAGTCTGTGCATGCGCCTCCACACAGCGTGGGTGGCTGAGCGCGTGGGCCCTGGCGCAACAGGTTGCCGGCGTTTCCTGGCAAGGCGATCAGGACGTCATTTTGCGCGGGGTTCGTTTGGGTGCGGCCAAGAGTCGGGCCCTTCGGCCCCCCCGGCACCGCGTAGACCTGTTGTTGTTGCGGCGATTGCTCCGCTTCGCGCTGTCGCGCCAGCGTAGGTGGTGGTGCGTCATTGCAGCGCTTGCCTATAATTTCCTGCTGCGGATGCCTTCCGAGCTCTTTGCGCCGTGCACGCGCGCTCGCGTGCAGGTGCAGGGCGGTCGGTTCGTGTGCGGGCCGAAACGCCGGAAGCAGCGGGTCGACTTGTGCACGGTTTTCGTTTTTTGTACTTGCGGGGTCGATGAGGGCATCTGCTTGCACGCGTGGCTACCCGTCTGGGACGAGCTTTTCAGGGTCGGGTGCCGCCCGTATGGCGGATACACCCTTGAGACATGGACAGCCGGGCTCCGTTGTCATTTGCGCGCGGTCGGGGTCGCTAATCCCGAAGAGTGGTTTGGCCACGACGTCCAGCGGGGCGCGGCCGCGGACGTTTTCGCCGCGTCGGGCGCGGAAGCCATGCTCGCAAGAGGTGGTTGGCGGTCGGTGGCTTCAGCCAGGCCGCACGTGTCGGGCGACGAGGTGGCCGCCAGCCTGCTGGCGCAGGGCGTCGTCGACGATTCTGGCCCTGAAAATAAGGCACCGCAGTGCCCCGCTCCTGTGCAGCTCCCCCCCTTTTCCCTCATTGGCATTGGGGCCGGGAGCGGCCTCGAAGCTTTGGTGCCTCGCCAATGAAAAAAGAGGCGGGAACGGGGCGGGAGTTAACTCGGATTCGCGAGTGTGAAGCAATGTGGGACTTCCCGCTGCCCCTCCTCGTGTCTCTTGCGCTCGCGCCGCCTGCCTGCCACTGTTTTGGGCTCAAGGGTGGGGCCGCCTGTCCCGCCCGCCCACCCTTTTCTTTTTCTGTCCCTGTTTCGGCTGCGCCGCTGCGCCTGCCTCTGCGTTGGGGCTGGGAGCGGCCTCGAAGCCTTGGTGCCTCGCCACTGGAAAAGAGGAGGGAAGGGAGCGGGAGCTAACAAGCAACATCCCCTGCGTGCAAGCATTGTTTAAGGAAACGCACGATATCAGACTTCTGGGTTCTCACACGAGGTCTGGCGATGAGGAGGTAACACTAGGCCGCCCGAGGCCCACGATACTTCCAAAAGCCAGCCAGGCCGACGACGTGACTTTTCGGCCGCGGGCCCCAGAGGTCTCGACCTCATCCCCAGGGGCAGTCTTCGTCTTACTTCCTGGATCCAGTTCTGATGGCCCCCTGTGCACGAGAAAAACACCTGAGGGCCGAAATCGAGGACATCGAATTTCCTCTTCTTCCTCCTCCTCCTCCTCCTCCTCCTTCTTATCCCCGACCCTTGAAACTGCTCGACCCTTGAACCTCCTCGACCCTCGAACCTTCTCTTCTGCCTCCTCCTCCACCACGTCCTCATCCTCATCATCATCCGTCTCCCCCTCCTCCTCGATCCTCGAACCTCCTCTTCGGCTCACCTTCAAGCTTGATTTCTGCAGACGGTCCCGGCAGGAGGCCAACGACCTGATGTTCGTCGCGGAGAGCGGCCTGAGCACTGTCGGCCGCGCGTGATGGCGGGACGCACGTCTGCTCCACGTCCAGCGCGGATGGGCGACAGTCCTGCCCCGAAGCGGTAGTGGAGAAGAAAGAGATGCCGGAGGGAAGGCGCGGACGGCACCGGCGGGGGCGTGTGCCATCTGCTCCTGCCCCGTTCCTCTCTCGCCTTCCCAGGCCTCCCGCGGATGGACTGCTCCAGCCCCGGCACGTTTCCTGAATCTGGACCTTCAGCGCGGAGCCGCTTCAGGGCCCCAGGGCGCATCAGAAAAGGACCCGCGGATTGTGAAAAGCAGTCCGTCGGAGGTGTGGCTTCTTTCCTCGTCCATCCTCCGCTGTGCATCCTCGGGTGGCCTTCCCTGTGTAGTGGTCCTTTTTTTTAAACCGACATGGATGCGACGCAAAATCTACGTGAAGTCGACACGGATTCGACGCGTTCGACATGGATTCGACACGAATTCGACACTGATAGTTGCCGCGATGGGACAGACATGGTCCCTTGACGATGCACTATGAGACAGCCTCTTTTTCCCTCCCCCTCGCTGGGATGCTCGCTCTTCCTGCCCTCTGCCGCTTCCGCCCCCTCCCCTCCCGCTTCGCCGCCCTACCCTTCTCGCTCCCACGCTCCTGCGGTCACGCAGCTCGGACTTGGATCCTCCAGCTGCGCGATCGCTTCCTCACCCTCCTTCCACTCTTTCTTTTTGCACTGGACGTCGTGCTGCGCAGATGCTCCAAAATCTCTCACGCTCCTGCCCTCCTTCCCCTTGTTTTGTTTTGCTCATAGCGTGGCACCCCACGGTGCAAACATACATACGGCCAAGGAGGAGGCGGAAAAGGATGATGAGGAGGAGGCGCAGGAGGAGTCCCCGCAGGCCTCCGACCGCAGCGGACAGTTTTTCTTTAGTTTGAGCATTCGGATGCCCGTTTCGGGCCGCTGGACCGTCAAACAACGGCAAGACCATCTGCATTAAACGCCAACGTCAACGGCCCCATGCCTCGCAAATGCTAGCATGCGGCGTTCCAGACGGGGTCTCGCCCTCGACGGAAGCCAGCGAAAGGTCGACGGAAGTAAGACAGGGACGACTCTGCCAGCGAAAGGTCGACGGAAGGCAGCGGAAGCAAGAGTGAGACGCCAACATGTTTGGGTTCAGCGTTTCCAGAGTCGTC